CTGCAGTAAGGTCACGCCAGTGCCTGTTGTTCACCAAGCTGAACAATACCAACTCTCTCAACCTTTTTACAGGAGAGATGCTCCAGCCCTCATCATCTTCATGGCCCTTCTCTGGACTTGCTCCAGTAGGTCATATCATGTTGAGACACACAGCAAAGGTTCATGCTTGTTATTCATGATGACTTTCATGCTATGTCTGCAGATAAATGGAAAGGAAATGTTTTTGTTCCAATGCAATGGACACCCTTTTGAGCTGTATTTTAATTTGGTAAAGCTGTGAGCTTCTGRAAGTGCTGATTCTTCGGCCACCAAAAATCCTTTGGGAGAGTAGTTGTTCCAAGTACTGTGCTGAAAGACACATGGAGAAAAAATAATGGAAGGAAGACAAATAGACTGAATGCTTTTAACTTATTTTAGTGGGAAGAAGTTTGCTGATTTCTGAAAATCCAATTTTAGAAACCTTGAAGTGTGCTTAGACTGCAATGCTGTGTCTTGATAGAGATGTACAAATAAATGGCACTATATTTAAGTGAACTATGCTTGGGACTTCAGGTGTTGTGCGTGAGTTAGCTCCTTGAMAGGAGTGTAGTGTTACTGGTTGTTACTGGTTCCTACTGCTCTTTGTTTTGGGTTGCTGTTTTGTTGCCAGGTGGAGAATTGGTTTTGTGTTCTGTTCTTTGTTCTGATCCTATATACTCGTTTTTCTGTGATGAAAGAGGTTTCCTCTGCTCTTGTTCTGCAGATTGTGAAGAAAGCATCTCTGTTTGTTCAGAGTGCCACTGGGATCTTATAACTGTCATGTAGGAGAAGTCATATTTCGCCCCCATCAATACTTTTGTGCAATAKGTCTATTTGTAGTTGAATCAGAGTTGTCTTGCCCTCAGGAGTGAATATCTTGGCCATGGCACGCTTGTTGGCTGAGCTGAAGGAAATCTTGTTATGCAGGGAGAATAGCAAAAGAAGCTCCTGCTACACACCCATAGTCTATTCCAGAATGAGCAGGAGCATCCTTTGGACTTGCTGCACATTTGTCCTCTGTCTGTCTTGGCACATGGATATTTCAGTTTTCACATATATGGAAGAGAAGTCCAGTTGTTTGGATACCTAGAAGGTTACTGAGATGTGGTAAACTGATTTTTTATTTAGTTAGCTAGAGAGTATTGCCAGCCTCAAGAAATGACTTGTMTATCTTCATTGCCCTCTGGCAAAAGCTTTATGTAAGGTATTGAAGATCATTTGAGCATGAACATTGTTTAACTAATAGTGRAAATAAATTCCACAGTTAGTTCTCCATTAATAATGTTTAAACATCTGAATCAAAGGAGTTTTAGTTTGAATGACCTAACTGGTCCCATTTGGTTTAGCTTGATGAGGGAGGAGTGAGAAATCCAGATGSAAAACACAAAAGCCAGGAGTGACTTCATCAGTTTGAAGCTTAAACTATGCTCAGAGGCAATAGTTGCCTCCATTAATGTCTRTTTCTGGAGGAGGGAAAAAGCAACCTGAAACAAAGTAAAACCTCTTAACCTATAAACAACCCTTCCCTTCACCTCACCACAACTAGAACTCTGAGTTCAGATTTCTGTAATTAGAATTGTTTACCAAACCCATGTTGAGCAATGTCTGAGCGCACAACATGTGTGCCCTTTACTGCAAGTTCACTGTAAGTGTACACTGTAAACCATTATTTTAATATATTACAATTCATACTTTGTAACTGCATGCTTGCACTTCTGCAGTTAGGGTCAAGCTTACCTGCAAGTCAGCAGATGAATTTTGAAAACTGAGTTCATGACATGCTGTTATTTTAATCTGAAATTTCCTGAATTTTCCTGAAATTTTTCCTGAATTTTCCTGAATCTGAATTTTCCTGAAACAGGGTTTGAAATTAAAAATATTTTTTTAAATGACTTGTTTTGACAGAATGACATCCCCAGGGTGGGGTCTGACTTAATGTTCTACCAGACAGCTTCCATCAATAGCACTTTTAGGATTGAATTTTTTTATGTTGTAAGCATTATAATATTATAAACAATAAATTCTGAGATTGAAATTTGAGTCTAATCTGAAAATAAGCCATATGAATACCCCGAGGTTTCAAAAAACTTAAGATGGCAATTCATCACACATTTTTTACTTTGGTCTCCAGCAAAATCCCTTAAAGTAGAACTGCTCACAGTAAACATGTAGAATTAAATACSACTAGTTTGCTTCTAGGTGAAGCATGAGTTGTGTTGTGTGAAAGGTTCAAGGTTTGAAAAGTAAAATGCCATTTTTATTCTGTCAGCCATGGGGTATTTTTCAGTGAGCATGGAGCCAACACACTYGGCATCACTCACCAGTGCAAAGAAGAAATCTTGACATGGCCAGAAGTCAGCAGTTATGCTCTCGTGATTAGCAGAGTCAGAGGCTGCATGCTGTACACCTTCAAGCACATGTGACTGCTGAACTTTAAGTTAGCATGTCTAAATGGCACTTGTAACTTGGCAAACTTTAAGTCGCTAAGAATCTCTTGTTGATCATGCTCTAATCTCTAGAATGGCCAGTTTTTCTTTCTCTTTGTTTGACATTCATGGCACTAGAGAACCTTTTTTTGTTTAAATAAATTGAGAAGCAAAACATGAAATAAACTTGTCCAGCTGGTAGAACGTTTCAAATGAATAGTCATTCACTAATGTTAGTGTTATTTATGGGTTAGTCCAGTTTATTAATTCTGCAGTGGGAGACATTGGACTTGTCTTCCAGTTTGTAAATTACTAATTCCTCAGTACTTCAGTGTTGTACTTAGACCTATCTATTGAATTTTCATCTAACACACTTCAGTGCTTACACTTGTCTAGACTGATACTAGCAGTGAATTTAATAGAAAAGAATAATTAGAATCTGATGTGGAAGAAGGTAACTACCACTTTCAGCACTTGTTCTTGACTATAAATGATACTTTAGTGCATAGCCAAGCAAGGTTTTGCTTAGCTTCYGAAACATTGAGTGGAAAACTTAAGTTTTTTTATTACTTAAAAAGCCTAGTATATTTTATCTTAGTATATAACTTAATAGTTCTTAGAATATTGTCTAGTTTTGGAGTATCTTGCAGTAGCTCAGGACTATCAGTATTGCATTTCAAAAATAGTTGTATATGATCTATCTGTTAATGTATCTAGTTAATGTCATTTAAAATCAAACACACAATCGTAGAGTGGTAGACTGCAAAATAATCTTTCTTAAAGCTGTTGAGTAGAAAGAATGTAAACAGGAAGGGGAAGTTTATTCTTGAGTATTTACTGATTTCTTGAAAGAATAAATTTGAAAAGCCTGCTTTGTGTCTTCATTCAATATGTTTCATATGTTGTGAATTGAGAATTTGTTATTCTCTAGTTGRGTCAGATCACTTGCAGTGAAAATCTGTATCTGGAAATCTTTACACCTACTTCAAGGTAATGTTTACTACATGGAAAAATTCTACATTATATTGTTTAAAAATTTAAACTTTTATTAAATTCAGGTATTTCCTTTGTTGGATGGAGGTTTGTAAGTTTTCTCTCTTCTCAGGGGAGGTGAAATGGTTGCAAGTCCTCAAATAAATAATGCTGAAATAACAAAATTTTCATTGCTGACTTCAATGACATTAGACTTTTACCTGTTACATGTGTGTCTGTGTACTGGCACAAATGTTTGATATCTACAACTACTCTTTATTTGTATTATCAAATACAGCTTTATGTATTGGATTCATGCTTTGTAAACATTGTAGAAGTAGTGAGTAGCTGTTGAGTCCATTGCTTAAAAAAGATCATCTGTGGTACAATAATTGAAATATTTCAGATTTATGATTCCATAATAATTCTTATAGTTTCTTTTTTCTTCTTTTCATATAATGCCTTCATTTTATCTTGTGCTGAAAGATAGCTCAGCTTAAAAGTCTTTCCTTTAAGGTTTTCCTTTGGTGAAGCAGTTTGTTTAATTTCTAGTGCAAGATTCCTGTTAAAGATGTTCCTGTGCTTATGACAAACAGCCATTTTGTATGTAACCTTGCCTTGCACAAATGATTATGTCACAAGAGAGTATAAGCTTATTTTCAAAAGTACAGCAAACAAGAACTGGGGATATTTGGTAACTGTTTTGTAATCTTTTTAGTTTCATAAGCTTTTCTTGACTGTCTTTAAGGCTTGGTCACAAGCTTCTTTTAGTAGTTTAGATGGATTTCACAATTTAACAAATCTCTTAATACTCTCTTTTATAATGAAAAGAGCTAGAAATATGTTTGAAGTGTTAGTTTGATCTAAAAGGTTTATGGTGTCTTATGAAAGCACAGTTGTTTTAAGTTGTCTTTAGATTCACTCCCTAAACAGCATGTTTCAGATATAATTGATTGGTACTGTTCCAGAACCTTTCTCATCAGGAAGGAGGTATAAAATGAATTAGGTAGTTTTGCTGGTTTCTCTTTGTAGAAGAACACTCCAAAGACTGAAGCCAAAATTGAGAACAAGCCTGCATGTTGCCAGCTAACTGGATTTAGCTATCCCAATAACTGTATGGTTTTATACTCTCAGTTTAACTGGGCTTTTGGGTTCTTTTCTTTTACTAAGGTTGCAATTCTGCTCTTAATGCTTTATTTTCCATAAGTGTAACACAAAACTAATAAAATTGATGATGGCTTTTAGAAAKGTTTGCATGCTCTAGAATATTTATATTTCTATCTGATAATTTTAGAAACATTTTAATCTTATTCCACGCTTTTGTACTTTGGATGGACCAAAACACTGTCCAAAGTCCATATGGCAGATAACACTGATATTGAAATTGTCCGGTCTGACAGAACAAATTTGGCTGATTTCCTGGGAAAAGGAAGTCTCTGAATGCTGTTTTGTCAGAAAACAGAATGAAAATAGAAAGGAAACAGAAATGAAAACTGCAGAACCAATTTATTCTATCACTGTGTGTTCATTTGTCGTTTGTGTCAAAAACTATTAATACTTTTTTTCTCCCTCMCCCCCACTCAGGGAGGCAATAATGCAGGACATACAGTTGTTGTGGATGCTGTGGAGTATGACTTCCATCTTCTGCCAAGTGGGATCATCAATCCAAAAGTCACTGCGTTCATTGGTAAGTGGGGCATCTTTAAAAAACAGTGCTGTAGTTACAGGCTTCTGACACATTAAAATAACAAAATGTATCTAAGGACATACAGGATCAGGATTCTTTTTCTTCCATTTTTCATAGATCTGAACTGTTCTACTGTCTTTCTAATACTGCCMTAACTCATTTGTGAAGTTTGGATTACAGAAATTTCTCTTCTCTTGGATAGTTCACCGTTGTTCTTATCTATTATCTGTCAGTATAAACAGCTAGCTGCCCAGCATATCTTCATTCTCCCATTCCCTCTCATCTTGTCTTTACTTCTTTTATTCTCAGGATACCCTCTCTCTTTTAATCTTCAGCGCTGCCACATACTTACCAGTACTTYTTGAACCATAGATATTTTCTTCCTTTTTCACTGGATTGTGAAATGAATGCTTACTCCAAAAGATGTCTGCACTCAAGAATTCTTACCAGGAAGTCCTCTTAGGAGAGTACATTGGAAAGCTTAGGGCAATGGCAGTGCTAGGTGATGTGAGGATCTGTGATCTGTTTGCTTTGCAAAAAGAGATTTAGACTGTCCAGTCTGTTGTCCCTGCAAACCTACTTACCTAATACCCTTCTTGCTTCTTGGAAATCAGACAAATGTTTCCAATCCTACATGTTTTTTTTTTTTTTTTTTCTTTGGATTGCTTGTATGACCAACATACTTAATAATTCTGTGTAGCCCATAGAATTTCCTTTCAAAAATGAAGGTAAATATGAAACATATGTGCACAGCATTATAATGATGGATGTGCTTGAGTGCTTTTTTCACCAACATGTGGGTCTCTAGGTCACTAAAGGCTATGTCTTAGCAGCACTGCCATGTTGCTCTTTTGATATCCAGATCTCCTGTCCCTTACACAGTGTACTTCTCCAATTCAGGACTCTATTGCCATGCTCTTCCTGTCACTTCTTGCATCTCCTTGCTTTGAGCCTGTAGTCTTTCAGCTTGCTTCCAAGAGCAAGTGGTCATWGACAGTTTGCTACGCAGCCACTGAAGAGCCTCTGTCGCAAGTTACTTGATTCATAAACAGTCCAGCTGGTAGTGACTGTATACTCTGTCAGCAGTAGTTCTGTACTTGATGGGATTTGGTGGTTAATTGCCTCTTTTCAGCTGTTATATTGTGACTTGATAATGGGATCAACTTATCCTGCCTAATACTTCGAYTGAAATGGAGCCAATGGGCATGGAGATATTCCTGTTGATGGTGGGGAGTTAGGGATGTTAACTGTTCCCCGTTTTTAGGGCTAAGGCAGAGCATATTATTTCTGTTCTCTTTTGATGTTACTGTATTATATTTCTTAAGATTTTTGCTTGAGAAACAGCAAAAAAAAGGATGCCCATTTGCCTTGTGTTGTCTGGGGCACTTGGTTGAATAGGAAAGCCCCCATCCTTTAAAAGTTGGTCTAGAGAACTTTGTACAAATCCTCTTGCCTGTATCTTCTATGTTTTGGTCATGTCTGTTCTGACGTTTGTTCTAGATTCTTTTAGGTATGCCTTAAAATCTCCTTTKGAGGAAAAAAATACTTACATATAAGCACTGGAAGAGCTTATATGTTCCAAAATAAAAACAAAACAAAAAACAAAACAAAAAAAACCAAACCAAAAAACAAACAAACAAAAGCGCAACGGCAAAATGATTGGAGTATTATAATAGAGTGTACCATGTARGTAATAATGAAGGAGTCTTAAAATACTTTGTATTTTGATGTTTATAATGCTTTTATCAATGTGAAATTAGGTTAATATGCAAATAGTTTTGAATGGCAGATCCTTTCTTTAGCTAAATGTTATACTGGTTATTTGAGTCTGCTGACTTTGAAATGACCTTAAGATGGTTCAGTTTTCCTATGAGAATGCTTCTTTATAGCCACTCACTGTTGCTGATTAATGGTATGAACTGGTAGTCTTTTTCTGAGCAATGTGACAGCTGTAGGAAGGCAAGTTTGCTTTTGATTGAGCTTTTCCTCTGTTATTTTTGCTAGTCTGTTAGCAGTCCCACCTCTGCATAYAGAATATTCTGAGTCTGTTTGCAGCAAAAGAGTGTCTGCAGGGATGCYGGTTTATAATGGTGATAGAAATGTGCTAAGCTTTTCGAAAACAATAGGCTTATTAAAATGAAGTACAAAGAGGAAAGTTAATTTTAGATATGAGGAACAGGAAGTTGCCTTTCAAACTGTTCTACGATTCTGTTACTGTTTGTACTGATCTAAATTGAAAGTTTGTTGCATTTATTAGATTCAATGCATATAGGTAGAAATGCATACTTGAGCAAATCTGTGTTTTAGACAAATTCATAAGAACTGCAATTGCACTAAGTAAAAAAAACTTAAATAAGTACTCTGCATTCAAAATATGAAGTGTTTTTGAACTGTTTGAAATATTTTTCCCATGCTCAACATAGTTAACTAAATTTTGTATAATGGTTTTCTTTAGGAAATGGTGTTGTAATTCATTTGCCGGGACTCTTTGAAGAAGCTGAAAAAAACTTAGAGAAAGGAAAAGGTGAGAATTTGAAGCTACTAYCTTTCAAATAGTTTGTGGGTCACTCCTTGAATGATTTAGGTGGAGGATGCCTCTGTAGATGTTACATGCAATGTATTTTTCCACAATTCCTTTAGCTGTTGTTTTGTGACAGGAGTCTTGGTAGAAGTGCCAGAGCCCTTATGGGAAGACAGATTAAAGGAGTCTCTGTAGAGTTTCAGAATGTAATCTAARTAAGAATTGTCTGCAGACGTACTTCTTTTCTTCAAGAAGTGAATTCAAGATGTGAGGTGTCTTGTTTTTAACAGGTGTTAACCTGTTCAAAGTTATTCTACCTCTTAAAATATTGGTGTACACTTTGATGACCATGTTAATGTAGACAAGTACTGTGGTAATCATTTCTTGATTCAAAACTCAGTTTTTGGATACTTCATGTTATGTCTATAGCTGTGCTTGGCAGCAGTCTGCTGTAAGTGGGGTAAATCAATGGTTGAGATTATTCAGAGCCAAAAGAGCTAAATGTTTGCTAAAATTGAGGAGTTAGGAACTTGAATTCTTCTTTAGAATAAGCCTGATTTTCTAAGCTTTGTAGGTTGATGCCAAGTTTCAATTATTGAAATTACTTTTTTTTACTTTGCAATGTGATTGCTGAGTCTTTAAATAGATTGACTGAAGACTAAGTATGAAAAGTATTTATACTTTATACATCAGAAGACAAAAATGCTATACAAACCATAATTTAAACTATTTCATTTTGCCTTTAAAGGAATGGAAGGCTGGGAAAAGAGACTAATAATTTCTGACAGGGCTCATATTGGTAAGTTCCTGTTGGTGGTTTGTTTTTTGTTGATTTTAGTTTTTTTGTTAATTTTCGGTTTCTCTGGACTTTCTGTGGCAGTAAAAGTGTTAYAATTTTTAGCCATCTCTTTATATAGGTCTGTCCTTGGCTCCTTTGTTTTTTTGAAGGACCTAGAAAAAAATTGTTCACTCAGAACCCTCCCAGGTTTATATTTTAGTGATTTTTAAAATCCTATTCCATAAGCATCACATTGACAGGAAAGCATGTTCACTTTCTAAGTCAGATTAGAAGCACAGGACAGTCAGAAAGCATTCAGAAGTGAATTGACTGAAGGATTCATTTCCTTTTTTGGTGTAAAAGTGGTGTTGCTCACTGCTGCMGGGAAATCAGGTGACTGGGTGTAACTTCAAACCAGTGGTCTCCCTATCAAGGAAATTGCCACATGCTTCCTAAAGGAGATTTCATGGGAAGGACTCTGTAGGGATGGAGAGAATGGCTGCCTTCCTCGCAAGGAGCTCATTAATCAAGCACTGAATCCAGCTTTGCWTCAGACAGCACTGCAGTTCAAAGCCTGAAGTAAAATAGTGTTGAGTCCAATCCACCAAAACAGACTTTCAGAAACTCTTCCTGTACCACTCCTACCACATCTTTATTACATGAATTCATCCTTAAAATTAGCTCTTTAGTTATTATAATGTTATTGCTGCCTCTGGTATTCATGTTCTGAAGATGTAAACTATTTAGGGCTTCGTAAGATAAAAGCTTCCAACATGGGAGGAAGAAGGTTTTGGTTTTCGTTTTGCTTTCTTTGATTTTGTTTTGTTTTTTACACCAATCTGGAATAGCTTAGTGAGTAAACTTATTGAGAGTTATTTCAGAGTAAATACGTTTTTACTTTGGAGTAACTAATCAGTTTGAAATAGTTGAGTAATTGCTTCTAAGTTACCAGTATCTTTACTTACAGTAGAATCACTGTAGATGAATTACTTGGAAATTGCTCAATTACTAGAAAAACTAGTCTGTGGTGATTATATTGCAATGGTAGTGCTATGAATTTTTCATACTTAAGAGATTGTGAGTATAAAGGGCCAGTTACTGAGTGTCACTCATCATTCAACCTCTTTGCAGAAGGGAGATTTCATAATGCCTCTATTTAGAAAATTTTGATGACAATTTGAAAATCTGTTGCCATGATAAAAATGTCTTCTCTAAAATGGGTATTGATCTGTGAATGATTAGTCTGTAACAAAAGATCAGCCAAACATGGGTTCAGGCTGCTGGGCATAAGGTAATTCTTTAAAATATGGGAATGTGAGGAAATAAACACTAAACCAAATTGGAAGGCAAACAGGAAAACCACTTCTGTTCTAGAGAGATTAGAGTACTTATGAAATCAGTCTTTCTTGCAAGTTTTCAGTCTTTCCTGTGCAATGTGTAARTAGTTTTTAGCTTTCAGGAAATAGTATTTAAGAAAATCAGTTAAATTAATTCTGTGAACTCCTAAGCTGTGCACCAAGCCACTAATCTTTGTATTTGACATGAGTCCTCCTGTAAGGTTTTTTTATTGGGGTGGGGGTGTTGGGGGTGCTGAGTTTCGTTATTGTTCTGTTTTGGCGGGGGGGTGTTTTTATGGTAGACAAAGAATTGATACAAGGGATACTTTGCATAATCTTTGTCATTAATAACAATGTAATGTGCAAAAGAATAATCAGGGCTTATGAAGTTGACTTCGGTTTGCATAACAGACGGTGGAAGCTTTTGTATTTTCAAATGTGTTTAAATTGATGCTGCCTAAAATATAAAAATAAAATTATTTAAGAAATCTGTAGAATGAGTGAAAATGTTTAAGTTTCCACCTAAATTTTAGCAGTATGACCTTTTTTTGCTGTATCCTATTTCCAGGACTTTTTTTCTCTTGCATGATTTCTTCATTTTTCCATATATTCTTTGGGGTCACTATGAAGTTGAAATGKCTTAGTTATTCTGTGGGTTATGTATACTCACTCTGCAAATATTCTACAAAATAAACACTTACAAAAATGTCTCTGAAAAACTTTAGAATTCTTCCCTGCAAAACAATGTGAAAGAGAAGAAAAACCTCTTGTAATTTTATTTGCCTGTCTTGAGTGTATGTATTTATTTTCCACATTGGTAAAGAGGACTAGAGTTGGTTTGAAGAAACCATTGCTGAGATAATAATTTGTTTCACACAAATTTTCAACTTTAGTTATTTTATTTTCTTAGTGTTTGATTTCCACCAAGCTGCTGATGGCATCCAAGAACAACAGAGGCAAGAACAAGCAGGAAAGAAGTAGGTAGTTTTTTGTCAAACATGGGATATCTTAGKACAAACAGGACTTAACGCGTTCAATCTCTGTTTTGCTTTGTCAGTGGGTTAAAAACATTATCCATGTGACTCTTGAATGTGGAGTATGCAGGGATTATTTCTTAAACATTATCTTCCAGTGGCTACTGAAAGATTATATGCTTAATGAATGGGCTCTATTTTTATATTTTGCCTTATGAAAGGGTTCCTGGTTGTTAATTTGCTAGTCTATGCTTCTTAGTGTTTAAAATGTTTACTGGAGGTATTTTGTTTTATTGTTGTAAAACTGTATTTCTCATTATGAATATTGAAGGACTTCTTTGGCATCTCCCAATAAATATAAGTTGGAAATGCATGTAGATGTTGACATTGTCAACTATAGGATGCTACTGACTTTCTGAAGCTTTTAAAACTTTTACAAGTGATCTACTATGTTTTTAGCTTGTGCTTTCCAAGTAGCTCACTAGTTCTTGAAGATGTGGAGAAAACTGGCAGAATTAAGTGACTTACCTACAGTGAGAAAGGAACATAGCACTAGAGACTTCTCAGAAGACAGTAAACTGAAAACAACTAAACCTACTAAACTAAGATTAAGTGCACARCTAAGCTTAGCAACATGTAGTACACTTCTAAAAAGGCTGCAGACCTGTTCACTTCTCCTTAAAAAGTTGCTTCATGTRTTGAGCATGATTGGGAGGATACTTGATTATCTGCCCATGATAAGGGCAGTTTAGCTTCATTTTGGTAGCTGATTTGCATGACTATGGCAGAAGACATTCTCTGAACTAGCTGTCCTTCTCTCACAGTAAAGTCAGTACAAGTTTTGTATTGTATCATCACAGACTTAAGGCTGGAAAAGGCTTTTCTGRCAGAATGGGCACATCAGGCTGAGAAAAAGAGTTCAGGTTTTCAGAATCAGCTACAGTGGGAAATCTTTTCCTAAACCCTYGACATAGAGCATTTTGAGTGTCTCTGTGACTTTTTGGATATTTAGCAGTGTTTTCTGTTTTCCTGGCTCCAGCTGAGGTATTTAGAATTAAATGAAGTATTTCTTACATGCWAACTTAAAATCCATACACCTTGTGCTGTTGGTTTATGGAGGACTTTCTTTAGGTCTTCAGAACAGTGTTTAAGGAAGGTGTTTATTTAGTTTTGTTTCATARTACTGAAAGATGTTTTCTTACATTTGGTTCCTGAAGTATGAAGGTTCAGAATTGTGTACAAATAAATATGTAAGAGTTGACTAAAGTATGAAAAAATATTGGTTTAAAAGCAGAAGTATGTAAAAGATTAACATATTTGCTTGTATAAACAGAGATATTCTGACACTAGGTTGCATCCTTAAAAGTATATTTTGTTTTAAATACTTGAAACAAGGTTCAATCCATGCAACARCATTTCATTTTATGCTAAGGATGGAATAGCTTTAAAGAAAAAAACATCTTTATATCAATAACCTCTTGTTATTATCTTCAAAGTCTGGGAACTACCAAAAAAGGAATTGGTCCAGTATATTCTTCAAAGGCAGCTCGAAGTGGACTCAGAATGTGTGATCTTGTTTCTGATTTTGATGACTTTTCAGAGAGGTAATTACACAGTCGTAAGCACAGTTTTCAGTTTCTGGATAGTACCCCGTGTAACATCTGGTTCCTGATATTTTTCTTAATTTAAAATTATTTATTTTTATTTCTTAAAAAATAATTTTATAAAATTGTATGATCATAGTTATTACCATTATTTATTGTTTGAAATTGTTAAATTACCACATAATTGCAGATACATAACCAGTAAAAACTGAGGGTTGGTGGAGGGTTGAGGAGGAAAACAAATAAACAGAAACCTTAGTGAAGCATTTTTGCCTTTCAGGTTCAAAGTGTTAGCCAATCAGTACAAAGCAATATATCCTACCTTAAAGATAGATATTGAAGGGGAATTGGAAAAGTTGAAGGTAAGCCTGCTTCTGTTTCTTCAATTATGTAATCACTGTGTGCAGTTATTGATATGCAAATTCCTTGTTGACTGATGCTTACGCTTGTGTGAGGAGTTAGAATATATCATAGGAAACTGTATCTATCAGTTTTGAAGAGTCTGCTGCTATCCTTAAAGATGCTCTTGGCCTTGTTTATGCAAATTTCCAAACTTGGTTTCCAGAGAGATACTGTGAATTTTAAGAAAAGGCCTTGTGTAAGGTGATATCTTCTTAACTTCTGCTGGCTCAAACATACAGTCTAGGGGGAAAACCATGATTGTAGCCGGAGAGAGTATGTTTAATTTGTAAAGCAAATTATTAATTCCTTGTCTCAGAAAGTCAAGAAATAAATTGTTTTTCTAAGTACTAAACCTTAAGAAAAAAAATACTGCCTAGCAACATAAAAAATGTAAATTGATAGCAGCAGAACTAAATGAATGACTAGTTTGCCAGCAAACTAGTCTTGGGGTTAGTTATGAATTCTGAGTTGATGTTTTCCCTGTGATTGGGACAGTTGAGAATTTTCTTGCTAGTATTAGGTTTTATTTGTGCAGCATCCAAGTTACTATTTGAAAATCTTGTGAGGTGTCTTACCCAACCTTTKTGTTCATGCTTTTTATAGAAACATACTTGTATGAGATGTCTTTTAAGGCTTAAAACATTAACCAAATGTGACATTGTTTAAAACCATCAAGGTATGTGTGGAACAGAGAGGGAATGCACAATTATGTGATAATTCTTTAAGAAAATCAGGCCAAAGAAATCATCCTTCCTCTAGCTTTAGTTGCCACTAGATTAATTTTTACAGCTCCAGAAGAATATATATGGGATATATATATTCTTTGCACTTCTGTTTGTCTTGCTTTAAATAATGCCTGTGTTGCATATGTTGAGTTACAATATTTTTATCAATATGTATACAGTTGATTGCTTTATAATGCTCTGTAGTTTGTTTAATGCAGTTCAGGATTACAGAATATATGAAACTCCACATTAGGGTGGAAATACAATGTGTTTGTAGCTTGAGGAAAATTACTTGTCTTATGCTAGTGCACTTGATTCAGTTCTGAAAGAGCAAGTGTTATGTTTCATGTGGAGTAGATTGTTAAAATGAGAATTTCMGTGTGTTCTCATGGAGGAAAAGGCTGTATACCAAGTGATAATCTGAACATTATTAGCTTCTTSCATTCAGCTACTCAGTGGCATTCAGGCATTTGACCCTTAATTCCAATAAATAACTTTTTACTTTTATTCACAAATTACAATTCACAATTGTGTGCATTTGTTGGCTTCAGATGCCCAGAAGTGGAACTCCCTACATGCTGGTTTTGGGGGAGACATTTTGAAGACTTGAAAATGAAATACCAAACACATTATAGTGATAATATGCTTGAATATTTCTAAAGCATTCCAGAAGTTTTGATTTATTTCTTTCTTCCTCACCCTTCCCCCTTCTTTTCTTTTCCTCCTAGAAGAGTATACGTGTCTATTGTGTAACTCTGAGTCTCGTATTCTTCCTCCCTTTTTTCACATTATGGGGTATTTAACATTTCTTTGCTTGCTTTTCCTTTTTGAAAGGAATATGAGCATTGTTACAAGGGAACAATAACAATTCTATTCTGGCTGCTTTTATCATAATGAAGTTATACTATACAATAGTCTTTTGTATTATTCAGGGCTACATGGAAAAAGTAAAACCAATGGTAAGGGATGGTGTTTATTTCATGTATGAGGCTTTACATGGACCACCAAAGAAGATCTTAGTTGAAGGTGCAAATGCAGCACTGCTGGACATAGATTTTGGTAGGTATGGTCTTTTTGAGACACATGTTGCTATACACTTACGTTGTGAAAAAGGAACATTAAATACAAACTCTCTTATGATTAGCTGTTCTCATGGCAGAAGTGGTTTTTATTTTGGAAGAACAGCACTCTGTATGGCTAGTAAATAATACAGGAGTGGGTGAGTGGGTGTGTTAATTAAATAATTTCAAAACGCTATAGACTCTCCCAAGAGTAATAATTTGAATGACAGTAAAGATCAAGTGGCTCTTCTTAGAGTGTAGCTATTACTTCAGTGTCTCTAAATTTTATATGAAATAAATCATGATTTTATACATCTGTGGAAATCACTTGAGTACAAAAATGGAGGGCTTTGAGAGGCAAAGCATGTATGCAGTATATTCTTGACTTTTAAAAATCAGCTTGCTTTTTTTAGTAGTCTCTATTTAACAGTTTTCCACTGTTTCACAGTGTCAGGAAAGGTGTCGGTAATTGGATTGCTAAGGAGGCAAGAGTGAAAAGATTGTCCCAATCAATTTGATATTAAAAATTATGCCGTTTTTCTTAAAACACTGTAAGTTTAATAATTATTARAAGGTTCTAGGTACTAAAAGCAGCTTCCTTTTTATGAGATGATTCTTTGGTTATTATGCTGTAAGGACAGATAATCTGATACCTCTGTAAACATAAGCAGCCTGTGTGATTGTCTTCTGCATTTTGTTACATTTTTCTTCAATCTCGCTAGCCTTATAACCACACCATTTTTATTGTTAGGAAGGTGCTAAAGCCTGAAATTGAAGCCTATAAAGACTGCTGTCAAACAAATAGGAAATTGGTATGCACTCAGCTTTCAAYGAAAATGAGTTCTGATACTGGGCATTTTCAAACATACTCAGTTTGAAAGCCTCTTCTTCTTTTAAGAGTAAGATATGTCTTAGATTAGTCACTGTTAAGTATAAGCACCAAACTTTCCCATAATAATTGGAATGCTAGAAGACACATCCTTTTTTAACAATACAAAAAAAGAAAGAGGAAAGAAGTCTTCAAATATGCTTGTCACAGGGTAATCTTTGAGATATTTCCAAAACTGAGATATTTGCAAAAAGGTCTRTCTAGGGGGGCTGGGTTTTTTGTAAATGGGTTTTTTTAATTTCATGGTATCAGAAGGTGCAAGCATCCTGAAACACAGATATGTCTATAATCCATAGAGTTGTTCAAGTTTGATTTTTTTTCCTGCCTCTGCTATAAGACCCAAACACACACAGARTATCTACTCTCCTTAAGCAGATACCATCGGTGGATTTGAACACTTATGTTAACAATAGACAAGCCCTAATCAAAAGGTTTGGTGTGGCCAGATTTGATTATTAAGGATTCTGAATGAGGCTATTGTCTATGCCTTGTTGCATAGAAGTCTTAATATTGAAGTGAGTTTTATGAATGTGTGTGTCTGTTGGCAGTGAGGATAGTAAATCCCCAGGCTTGCAGTCCATCCCACTTTCCTGGAGCCTGTAATGAAGCTCATATGTGTATTTGTCTGAGRGTGGGGATGCAGGTGTGGGGGTGTGTTTTTAAACACAAGGTAACGATGAAGCAATGTCAATATATCAGGCTGGGAAGTGAAGGAGGATAAGAATTATTCATTGACTCTGTTTTTTATGTCCACTAGCTATGTTCACCTATCAGTAAAGAAAAGCTTTACTACTGTGTTCTAAGATTAAAAACAAATTAATGCTTGCAAACTGCTGTTATGTATCACCTGTAAGCCTGGGTTTTTCTCTCGAGCAATTTGAGATACCTGAAGCTAATCTGTGAAACMTCATTGAGCAGTCTCTGAAGGATTTTTACTTTTTAAAGATTTGTGTATTGCTGAAAGAACTGTGTTGCTTTCAGTTCTTTTTTTCTTGGTGGTACCTCTCTTACCCTTCTCTGCTTCATATCAAAAGACATACAACAAAATCTGAGCAACAGGTAGAAGTTTCTTGTTTGTGTGCCATTATAGTGAGGCTGAAGTATTTGTTYACAATTCAGCTGAGGACTGACATGTTTATTTTAATTTTCCACTACTTAATAAAAAAAGGCAGAAATCTAAGGATTTTGAGATGTTTAACTCTTTTCTTTACAGTCCAGGCTGCATTTTAAATGCAAACTGAATATTTAACTAGAGACAAACTTGTACCACTGCACTATATTCCAGGGGTCTTCTTTTTTTAATGATGATTTTTTTTCATTGGATCATGTAAGCAAAGTTGTTCTTTCCAGATTCTGCATTTCATTGCAATTTCTTATCCTTATAACGTGCTGACCAGTTTGTGGAGCTTGTATTTTATTTTTTCCTCCAAAAATTAAAAATAGTAAACCTGTATATTCTAACCYTTTAATACCATTTTCTCAAGCGTCTCCCTTCAAATTTTTGCATTGTTCTATTAGTGAGTATGTTTAATATAAGAAAGCAAGACATGTTTTTCTGGTGTCTTGCTCCAAATTTTTACCTCTGTGATCATTATATAGTCCATTTTTACAAGCTGAAGTAAGTGGTAAGATTTCTGCCTTTTTCAATAAAGGGGGCTCAGACACTGTACRTACAAAGCTAAGAGCTAATTGAATGTGTTCTTGACTAAAAAATACATTTATTATGTTTTGGTTTTTAGTGTTGTAAAATCTAGGTAAGTGCGATGCAGGTACTATTTCTCATCAAGTTAGACTTAAAAAAAAATAGTTTAAACCCAGTGTTTTAATATCTTCCTAAACCCAATGTTTTGGTTTTTTAATAGGCACATATCCTTTTGTGACTTCATCAAACTGCACAGTTGGGGGTGTGTGCACAGGTCTGGGCATGCCACCGCAGAAYATTGGGGAAGTGTATGGGGTTGTGAAAGCCTACACAACCAGGGTTGGGATTGGTGCCTTTCCTACGGAACAGAATAACGTGAGTATTGCGGCCTCAGGTGTGACCTGCAACRGGGTGAGATAACTTGGTGTGCCTTGTCTGTCTTTTGTTAAGTCTGTGTTAATGGTTAAGTGCAACTAGGTGACAGTGTATGGATATCTCAATCTTCTGATTCTAGGCTGAGTTTACAGGACTGCCAAATCTGAGTGCAAGTTTCTTAGACATTTCTGTGAAAAAGAAGGCTAGAGCAGGAAYAAATTTTGAGAAGTTTGCCTAAAAATCGTTCTCTTGAATTAGAAATAGCATTTTGTATTGCTGTCTTAATCCAAGTGGACAAYATTGTGGAAAACTGGAGGAAGGACTTTCAAGGTAATTTATAATGTCATGTATTACAAATCAAAAGAAACCCACACACTCATGTGTCTTACTCTTTGTTAGGAAATTGGAGAATTGCTGCAACAGAGAGGTAAAGAGTTCGGTGTTACCACTGGTAGGAAGAGAAGATGTGGCTGGCTGGACCTTGTCTCACTCCGATATGTCTACATGATTAATGGATTTACTGCGTGAGTTGTTTGGACAGCTTTGCTGGCAACTTGACAGAAAATCATGAAGTGCTGTAGAGTACTGTAAACTGTACATATACTAGTTAGTAATATTTGTACTGTTAGTATTGATCTGTTGATTATTTTGATGTTTTGATAAATAAGTTGTTCCTAATTTTTCCTATCATTAAATATTTTTACAYTTGACATTTTCATATACATAGATTTTTTTTGTGGAGATTTATTTTGTTAATTGTCTTCAAAATAAGATAGATGGGAAACCAGCAGTATCTTCATTAGTATGTGTAAATATTAAAAATTTGGGTATGCCTTTGGGATGTTAATTAAAATGAAGGATAGGTGCCTGAAACAAACTGGTACAAAATTTCTAGCAGATCAAATAGTGTAAATACATACTTTATTTAAATATTTCTGGTTTTCTTGTTCTCTSTGAGTTTTATTTGAAATAAGATGCRACCAGGTATTTGTAGAGCCAGGGTCTGATTATTTTTCTGCCTTCACTGTAGGACAGGAACATTTGGCAGAGGACAGGAACAGACACCAACAGGCATCATGCAGTGAAATGGTCATCTTAAATGGTTATAAAGTATCTTGGCAGCATCCTCACCAATGAAAATTACAACATTTAAAGCTGTAGACCAGATAATTCAGTTGGAGAATATCTGTTCTTTGATTTTTTTTTTTTTTTACATTTTCATTTAGCACTTTTTTCCTTTTGTTGTTTTGTTTCAGTGGTTGTTTATTGTTGGTTTGGGCTGTTTTTTAAAGTCAGACCAGATAACAGATTAGTTCCATATGAGATAYTTTTCTAAAGAAATAAAATTAATTGCAGGAATTAATTTTGTCTGATTCTTTGTTGGTTTGTTTTATTYGTTTTGGTTTTACAATGTTACAAGATTTGAGAGTTGTTGATCTTGTTTAACCAGAGTAATGTTTCTTTACAGATTGGCACTTACCAAATTGGATATTTTGGATGTGTTTCCCGAAATCAAAGTTGGTGTTGCATACAAACTAGATGGTGAAATCATACCTCATTTTCCTGGTAAGACTGCTTATTAAAAAATAAATTAGGTTTTGGTGAACTGTAATCTGGTACTAAATGCATTTGACTTCTACTTGTAAAACTAACAAGAGCAATGTGTTTCTTCAGTATCAAGCCATTAATGTTCTCCAAATGCACCAGACATATCTTTTACCACACCCGTACCTGCACCCTAAAGACACCTGTACCAAACAWTGTTGTCTACTAGAAAGATGCAAAGAGCTATATAAAGCTTGTAAAACATAAATGCTACTACTTTTCCCTTTTATTTCATACAGCCTGCATCACCTTCAAGCTGAATTGGAAGCTTGTTTCATACTCTAAATTCAGTTATCTTGTTCTCATTACTGAATTGCTCCTCATTTTTAGCAGGCCAGGTGTTCATTCAAGCATGCAGTAAACCCCTTGACAAAACTGGTCCTGTTGAAAGACCAAGTTTTTCTTKCTCTGTGTTACTCTTCTGTCAGTTCACTTCTCTTTAATGACTCACAGAGCAGCCAAAAACCTCTTACACCTACACAGTGTAAAAGAAGGACAAGGGGTTGGGGAGGGAACTGACTGGTTTAGGTGAAAGCRAAACTRTATTCTAATGCATGACCAACGTACRTCAGGTCAGCATGATAGAAACTGTAGTTCTTAAGGAGGACAGTGGTCATGATCACTTGAAAAGTGCACCTGCATGTTAAAAWATCCAAATACTACAAGCCAGTGTTTTTATTGATAGTACATCTTGTTCAGTTTGCAACAGTTAGAGATACTCTAGAAAGAAAGGGAGAACATTGAACAGTACTAAAGGCTGGACTTTTTGATTGTGTAATGTGGACAYAGATGCCCATTTTTCTTCCATTGGTACCTCAGGTTTAGAGGCTGGTAACAGGTTACAMTTTTTCATATGATATCATCATCATCAGAGAACTTTTTGTGGGTGAGATCAACTGTAGTAGTTGGATACAATGCACAGGAGAATTTATGTAGTACAAAGATGTGATTATGTGTGAAGGAATAAATGATAATCTGCCACTAGTCGTTGAAAACAGCATGTATCTGTTGGAGTAATTCATAAGAGATTTTAAAAAACCTTTTGTTTCTTCATGTGCTTGTGGGAGTTTTCTAACTGATACGCTGTCCCATGCCTTCAAACAAAAGTGCCAGTTCAGTCTGAATGCATGCTGAATTACTTTGATTCAGGAAATTTATTACTCATCTTGCACTAAACCAGGGAATGCTTTTCCCCTTTTAAGACTGAGATATTCCCTGATTGATACTCATATCAAAACATTAAGGACATTTGTGTATACTTTAAATGGCCTTTGGACGTAATGGAGATGGTATATTCGAATTGAGAACTGCTTYGTAAATGCTTTTCTTGTAGCCCATCGTCTGACCTTGTGCTCGAGCAAGGGAAACCTTCTCTGGTAGTCTGTCATTAAAGATGATGTAAGCAGATGGCCATATTGTACAGTACTAAGACTTCGGAAATTTTTTTTCATTTGTTGTGTGTCTCAGGACCAGAATCTTGTTAGATGTAACTCCTGAAGGGGCAGACTTTGTSCCCTGTATGCACTGAGGTAACAGGTAGCTGACCTTTGGTCATAGCAGCACAATGTGGCTTACCTGCCTGTATTTTTCTTTACTGTATGAACAATTAGGAATTCTGATAGAAGTTTAGTAGAAGCTGTTGACATGCTGTCTTCTTTGAAGTGTCAGGAAGGAGTTTGAGCTGAACTTCTGGAAGGCTGGAAGATGCTCTCTCTCCCAGTGCCTCTGTGTTCCACACCTCTCTTTGCTATAATCCTCAACATTTGGCAACATTTTCAGCACAGTCTGCAGGTTACCCCTACCCCGGCATAAAAAACAAAAGGTTGTTTTCTTTCCACTTTGTGTTCTGCAGATCATTAGACTGTTTCTGATGTCTACATTTCTGCATGCTGTGTGCTTTATTTAAAAAAAACTTGCCACTGACATTTGAATTTAATTTAGAAGAAAACTAGTCCAGGAATCTCTCACTGGCAGACTATTCCTTTCTTTCTCCCCTTCCTACCCTCTCACTTTCTTGGAGATGTTCATGATTTACCCTTCTTGTGAAATGACTGTCTCTAATTTAGAAGCACACACAGTAGCCACCATCTCTGGAAAAGTGTGCCGTGTTTCATATATTGTTCCTTTTTCTACCTGGATCAGAGAATCATATGAGTCTTATTCCTGGTTTTTTTTTAACTTCGCTTTCTGTGGACATTTCATAATTGCCTCTTAAGAAGGAACCTAAAATGTATTGTAAATTTACAGATGACTTTGGTTGGTGTTATTGAGGCTGTAGTCTTTTGCTGGCCAGTAAGAGGAATTTATGGAAGACAAAACTTGCTGCTAGCTTTGAGCCAATCAGTTTAAAAAGAATGTGAAAGCTATGGTCTCCTGTTGAAGTTCAGATATCAGTTGATTTCAGCACAGAGACATAACCTCTAGCTCAGGAGACTTTGAAAACACAGATGCGTAGGAAATTGGGCTATCACTTTGGAGAAGCTTTACTTTCATGCTTTTTTTTTTCTCACGTGCTTTTTCCATGGGCATTTGCTGTAGATTAAAGAGCTGGGACACTATTCTATATGCACCCTAGGTCTGACCTATATGACTACTTTCATGTTCAGTTTCTGGAAATTGGTGGAGGATCTTTCTMTTACAGTGGTGCCAAGATCCCAAATCTGAGCTATTTTATCTGAGTTGGAAGTAACATCACATCACTCTCCAAATTATGATGTCATTACATTTGCTCTGGCTGTTTCGTAATTAGGGTGTTAACGAATATTCTAGAAACCCTAAAAGATAAATCCCCTCAGTGAAAAGCCAAGAGAAATGTAGATGGTGACTAGATCTGATATTRCACTGAGCTCAGTTTGTGGCTTGTCTTTAATGCACATCCTCTTATATCACACCTGCTGGAACAAAATTAAAGAATCATTTGAAACATCAAAGTCATCCCTTCTATTTCTTCTCTGTTATGGGGAAGTAAGGAAYTGAACTAATACAGGCTAATGGAAGATTGCAGTCAGTACTAGACTGTTAAATACCAAATGCTTTCAGCTGTCTCCCTGTAACCTCATCAGAGRGGCTTCAAACAAAAAAGGCCTATTAACATCCAAGATTAGGTGTTCATTCACTTTCTCTCTTCAGAAAGAGGGAGGCTGCGGACCATCTGTACTGCCTGGAGATGAGTTTGTGGTTTATATTCTGATACAGAGCATATCTATTTATTGTACAGATCACCTGGAGAGTAGACAATACCTCAGTGGTTACTGCTGACAAGAAAGTGTTTATCCTTGGCCTCTACAACCCAACATCCCTAATGTTCTGTCTGTTCTAATTGCTACGAGTATTGGTTCARGATCATTTGCCTTAACCTGGGAATGCTTTGGTCCAAAACATGTACATTTCCTCACTGTTCCAGACTTTAAAGACAGCAGAGCGGTCTTCTGTCAGCCTTTCTTGAAATGCCTAATTCATTAAGGCTGTCCTTACAGCATTTCTGCTGTTGAATTGTTGCCTGCATCTGGASAAATTGTTCAATGTGCTGAGCTTGAGTGTGTTGGCTACACACATGCTGGAGGGGATTAGCTGTGGTTTTGTATTTGCACCTCTGCTGTGCTYCTTGACCTCAAACCCTTTCCTAGGCTGGCTAGCTGTCCTGGCAGGAGCGACTTGATCTGAGACACAGAGCCTACATAAMATTAATTACCATGTGCCCTTTTTCAGGAAGGCAAGAAGTAATGCCTGACTCCTCCCATTTTTTTTTAATCAGTGTATTTTGACCATTTTCAGACTTAAGCCCTTTGTTTTGCTGCCCTTTGTCATTCCAAGACTTAATGTTCAGATAATTACTGGAATGATTCAATTCCAGTGCAATATGCTTATCATGTTTTTCAGTTCTAGAAGTCATCACAGGAGTCACAGTTAATGGACAACATTGTAACCAATGAATGTAAATGAAAGGGAAAATATCACTTCTGTTCTGAGAAGCAATTGGATCAGTTACTGTTCATACATCCTGTGGGGCTCCACACTGGTTGATAAATTCATTGTAGAGTTTTGGGGCAAAGGATCTGTGGGCATCAGAAGTCTTTTATGTCTTAACTAGATTTTATTACTATATTTAGTAAAAAGTATGCTCCCACGTAATTCTAAAATGTTTTAGCTGCCTGATACTTACAAGTTTACATGCTGGTTCTTAATTTTGCTTTCACAATTCCCCCATGAAAGGGGAACTGGTTCTCAATACTCATTCAGAAAAAAAAAAAAAAACCCACCAAAAACATTTTTGGGAATTGTTTCCCTGAAAAGTTGTTTTCTTGAACTGAAAAGATTGTGGTTTCAGCAAAAGATACGCATGTGACTGAGCACTGGAATTCCTAGAGTCTTAAGTTTTGATATTTACTGGATTTTTTTCCCATGTGCTTATATTAACAAAAACCCCAACACTTCCGCAGCTTCAGTGCTTGTATTATGTTACGAGCAAACCTCTTTGTKTAAGGAAAGAATAAAAGCTTTACAGTTAGTGTTTTGTGTTAGAGAATTACAGTATACGTGGACATAACATTTTTTGTTTCTGTTTACTTCTCAGCCAACCACGAAGTCTTAAATAAAGTCGAGGTTCAGTATGAGACACTCCCAGGATGGGTTACGGACATATCAAATGCAAGGACGTTTGATGAGCTGCCTGTAAATGCACAAAATTATGTTCGTTTTATAGAAATGGAGTTGGGTGTTCCTGGTAAGTAGAACAGATTTTCTTCCTGTTGTCTGGGTTATTCCTGCTCTGTGAAACCTATATAGTATTTTGTATTAATGAACATGTAAGATATTGAAAACCAGTGCCACTGGTGATTATTGTTTTACTACTTTTTATTTAGTTGTTGAACTCAAAATTTTCAGAATATGCATTCCTTCTTTGGCTCATACTACATTTCTTGTTCAATTAAGATTTTTTTTTTTTTTGTTAACTTGCTCAAGTGCCTTTTAGATTGGTTATAGTAGGAATTCAGTTTTGCTGCTACTATAAAGTCAGCGGGAGTATGGGTTATTAATTAGTGTGATGAATTGTATATGAGAGTAAGAGTAAACTGATGTATTTCTCTATGCTCCCTAATAAAGATGGTCCTGTGGTTCCATCCAAAGCYGGGAATTAGAAGATGATGCAAATTTTTACTTTTCTGACAGTTTCTAAATGTCTTTTATCCTATGATCTAGAAAAGTGATTAATTTATTACAGCAGTTTCAAGACTACCTGCTTTTTGAAGTTATCAATGCATTCTTTGAGAACAACAGACAAAATTACCGTTTCTTAGTATGTGAATAGTATATATATGCTATGTTTTTCTTCAAAGTATGGTGTTTAAGATGAGTTTGTATCTTAAGATACAATCCACTCTTGTTTTGTATTACTTACAATAAGTTTGCTTTTCTCTCCTGCAGTTAAATGGATTGGAGTAGGGAAATCCAGGGAATCAATGATCCAGCTGTTTTAAAGATTTCAGATGCATGGAAGAAAGCACACTCCTCAAAAGACTGCTCATTCTTAAATGCATTAGTAGCCCGCAAAGCAAAGATGTTGGAAAGATAGATTTTTGCATGGGAAGAAATGCTAGAGTTGATACCCCCAAATCAATYGTTACTCCTGAAAGACTCTAACATGAACCTGTATCAATTCCTGTTCAACTGCAATTTCCAGGACACTTGTCATTGTTGTTCAAGGTGCCATCAGATTTTTTTTCTTTACCTAATATTTACTTCATAATGTAATTCCTGTTTGAAAATCTAAGGTAGCATTGCTTTCATGACTGTTTGTCTTTGTTATTCTCTCTGCTTTTGGCGGTGTTACTTCCCTGAAATTTTAGGCAGTAAAAATAATGCAGTTTTGCACAGATAGTTTTTCATCCTCATTATTTGTATTCCTAAAGCTGTTGTATTCTTAATGACTGCTCTTGTGAGTGATTAAAGAGGGGGAGTCTGATTTTATAATGCTATAAATGCTGTCTAAATTATTGTGTGATTTGTTTTTTAAAAGAAGATGTGATGCCAAGTTGTTATGAATGTCCAGGTTTTTTTAGCTGTATAACACAGAAAACTTACTCTTTGTAACTCACAGAGGATACTCAAGTGTTTACCAGGAAGTGTGCCCAGAAAGTTAGAAAACTGATATTGTAAAAAATTCATTTGCAATTATTAAAGAACCATTCTGATTTTGAGTTAAATGTTTTATAATGTTACTCTTTCTTTTCCTGGTATTTTAAAAACTGTGCTTCTCTGCTTCCAAGGCATRTATCTTAAACCGTTCCCCTAATTAAATGGGGTTATATTTATATTTTGTGAGAAGTCTAACATTTTGATGCCCTTTTAAATTCCTTTCTTGAGAGTCAATAGTAGATCTTTCTCTGGAGGATTGCCAAAGTGCAGACACTTCTGTATTTATAAGTTGAAGATGCTTTAGAAATAACATTTAAGATATTCCATGCATTTGCTTTGAGTGTATGGTAAATAACAAGTGTTCACCTCAAGACATCTAACRTATTTTGAATTATTGTTGGGAAATACGGAAATGTTCTAGAAATATTTAAATTTATAACCATTATTAGATATTCCAAAGAATCTGATTTCTTATTGCAACAACTCAGTAATTGCATATTCCCTTTCCAGATTGCTGAGAATGACTCTGGTTTTGCACATTATACTATGGTATTCATGTGCTTCCTTTTCACTTCAAAATAAAACTTACTTTGTTTCCTAAACCCAAGTTTATATCAGGGTGGGGCAATAGTTTTAGTTTTAGTTTAGTAGATCTTAGGTGCACAGATGAATATAAGAAACTTTTAATGTGAAATAAGGCACATGGCCTTTTGGTTTGTCTTGAGTAACCGCATGTTGCCTGAAATGRAATAGATTTGTTGGACTATTCAGCTGCTAAGATGGTTAGCACAATTTTTATATTCTAATTTTTTTTTATTTCCTTAGAAGAGAGGGGGGGGGGGTAAGGATAAAACTACTGTTTTTTAAGGAACATATTCTGTTGAATTGCTTGCATGTGACAGAGCAAGTCTGTATTTTATTTGTGTAATATGTGGAAAGAGGTGGATACCACAGAATGCTTGAAAATTGGCAGATACAGTGAGAAACCTTTGTATCAGCATCCATGTAAAGATCATTCTCATCAGCATTAAAAAACAAGCAATGTGTTGTTTTTTTTTTTTTTTTGAAATGGTGAAGGTCTTATTTTACTGTCAGCCTTGAAGCCCAGTAGAGAACCGTCCATCCCTCCCTAGCTAAAGGACATCTTGACTTGAAAACCTCCTAATTCCTGGATGGAGAGAAGGAGGAACTGTGTGAAACATAAATTCCTGTGCTTATTTAAAAGAAAAAAAGTTACTATTTTCTAGGCAATAGAGGGAATTGACGTTGCAGTCTAACAATAGCCAATAATTACCAAGTATTCTTGTTTCCTTGTAGTTGTAGGAGGCACCAAGGGGATTTGTGCTGTCAGTAAAACTACCAGCCAAGGACTGTGGGCCTAGTGAATAAAAAAAAGGAATGAGGGCATGTTTCCTTCTACAGTCAGTGAATAAATGAAACACATCTATGGAGCTGCGTTTCACTTCTGCAAGCAAAGACCTTCAGGTTCAAGGTTTCAGTTTTTCCACTGTTGTAACTCCACAGTACAAACTACTGTTGTTTTCCGGTGGAGGACTTCATATTTCCAGATGCAGCAGCATTTCTGAACAATACAGCTGTAGCCTAAAATGATACAAAGTATTTGTGCAGTATTTTGAAAGAAACAAAACAGAATTGTCTTGGATGCAATAGTGTTTTATTTTCTTTTGCTGTCTCTTAAATTCAGCTGAGCTTTTTCTTTGATTCTTACATTGAAGGGCAGGCYTGGGAAATTGAAAACATTCTTCTACCAATACTGGTTCAGGATATATGTGGTGTAGGATCTTTTGGTATGCATTTACTCCCATGACCTGGAACAAAGAATTTTTCTTTTCCAATTTCAGGTGGTTAAACTTGGCATCTGCAAAGTGTATTATGTTGTCCCTGTATGCTAGTTTTGCCTAAATCTTCCTGGAGTGAATTCTTGGACTCATGCACACTTTCTTTGTGTCAAAGAATGGTAATACCCTACCAAATTTCCCCTTTCCCCTGTGCTACCTCTTCTTCTCCTTATTTCACTTGTACAGGTGGGGAAATAGGCTGGGATATGTTATCACCAACCTGAATGTTGTGGAAGCAAATAGTATGTTACAGAGATTTGTTTCAAGCTTCATGTTCAGCTGTGGAACCAAGAAGGAAGAAGGGAACAGCAGCCTAATACTTTACCTCCATCAGTGTGTCCAGCATGGACAAAGGTAAATGGCTTTGAAGACACGTGTAGTTTTTTTTCCTCTAGATAAAATTCGGTGTTCTGCCTCCTCCCCTCCCCTTCATTGGTCAAGAAAAGAATTGACCTAATTCACCAAAGAATTGCCTTATTCATTAGCCATCACAGGCTAATAGTAAGCTGTGGTAAAACAAAAAAAAAACTTCATAGTTAGACAGGCATCTGTTTCTCAAGCCTTTCCTCTGCTCACTCTCTGCAGGCTCTTCAGTTGCTGCCATGTAAGGGGAGAGGATGGCAGCRTAGGATAGTAGTTGAAATTGATTCTCCTCCAAGTGTCCCCTCCTGCTAATGGGATGTTTTAGGAGGCACATATACCTGCTAGACCAGACAAAGCTGATGACAGACAAGGTATTCTGATCTCACTCTCTTCATGCTGCCACTGAAATATTTACGAGACTGAATCTTCCAGGCCTGTGCTCCACTACCTCATTTAATAGCCCTTACGTCCCTGCAGATTAGTGAGCCTCCTTTACTGACTAAATAAGAGGGAAAGGTGGGGAGACCTCTGCTGCTTAGCCTTTTCATTTGTGTTCCACATGTAACTGGGTTTTGACATGCAGCTAATGGACAAAACCTTCAGATAAAGGGGCAGACAGATGATGTTGATGTCATGCACAACAGCAGCTTTCATCTAGCATCATCCTGGAAATCTGCTCTCTAATAAAAGATGTTTCCTTTTGTGGTTATGACCAGCTCCGTTACTGAAAAATAACGAAAGGTGTGACTAGTTTAGAAAAAGTAAAAGGCAAAGTAGCTAGGAATGAAGGGGACGAGTCAATTAGGTGAGTTTTTTTCTGTTGTCCCTGCTGTTGGTAGTCTCTGAAACAAACTTAAGTCTGGTAGTATAGTAATCAAGCAAACTGGTTTTTGGTGTGTGACAGCTTTACATACTGAAGGTAAAGTATAGACTGTTGTGCATGGCTGTGTACACATAGCTGATGCATTATTTGCRGAGACTTAATACTTCACACCATTTTTGTTGGTCTGAGTGTAATAACTCATTTGACATGTCTTCAAAATACCTGGCAATAGATACACGTTAAAATATCTTCTATCAGTTTTAGACAGATAACACTGTTAAATCCCTATGTCCCTTTGGAACACTAACCAAGTGTATCAAAGCAATGTATTTTCTTACACTACATTAGATTTTTTTTCACTGATTAATCTATTTGTGCATGCATCCAAGTACTTACTCTTTAGCTCTTGATGCATGCGGCTGAAATTCTCAATAGTTTATTTGAGTAACTGTTTTTAGATAACAATTTCACAAGTACGACTGGTTTTTCTTGTTTTGTTCACTGGCTGACAGTTACTGATGTCTGGTTATTACAGAAGGAACTGGGATACCCGAGTATTGGTAGTTCATATGGCTCTGGGGCAGCTCTTTTTTTTCCAAAAAATGAGGTGAATATTCACTTTTTTTGCCTGCATGCAATTTAGGACTAGTTTTTTAATAGTGAAGCACACCTCCCTAGTTCTTCTGTGTCCCTCTCGACAGGAAAACAAGCATGGATTATTTAGCTGTATTGAGAAAGGGCAGGTTAATAGTTGCTGTGAATGAGGCATGATTGTACCAGTCATTGGTGGGYTTTTCCTGAGAGCTGAATGTCAGAGTCAGGTTGGAATGGCATTTCAGCTTTTTAGTTTACTGGAGCCAGTTGTAGTTTACTAGAGCCAGTTGCAGTTTACTGAAAGGTCTGGGCAAAAAGCATAAATCTTTCTGTAATCTCATGCTGACATATGGTATGTAAATACCATGATCCACCCAAAGGGTAGCCAGCATTATAAATGTACTTTCTAATCTCCTGCTGAAATGAGCACTCAGTATAATGCAGCTGTAATCTAATAGATATTAACAGTCTGAGAATGTACAGTAAGACCTTAATAATTCAGTATTGTTCAATTGGCTCCATCTGACTTGTAATTAGCACGATAAGGGTTGTGCCTCTTGCAGTTGAACAACTAACTGCATTAGTTTAATTTCAATAGAATTTTCAAAGCCTTGAGTACCCAGTATAAATAGCCTACAACATTTTACATTGAAGTCAATGTGCAATAGAACAAATTTTCATAGAGGAGAAAAAAATCCAGATTTTTTTAACAGCAAATTCCATTCTAGACTCTCAAATACATGATAAATTCAGGTCATGCAGCACTCCTGGTATGGCCAAAAACTTCAGAATGTAGTTTTGATTTCCTCTGCCTGGATTCTCTTGTTCCTTTTGTAGATCAAAGTTATTAAAAAAAAACCAACAAAACAAAAAAAAACAAAAAAAAACCAAAACAACACTAGAAGTTGTTGGTTGTTGCAGTATTGCCCACAATAGGCATGAAAGGGGGAAGGCATATTCCACGGGTCTCATGGGTTTACTTGGTGCACAAACTTACCCTGGAGCGCCTCTGGATGCATGTGACTTGTAGACCCATCCTAGCTGCCCCTGACAGAAATGAGACATCCTTTGTAGGGTGAACAGCTGAGCTGACGAAGCAAGCAAGTAGAAGGTAGTGAAGTGAAGGTACAAGCAGGAACCTACGGAGTAACAATCTCAGTCTAGCTGTGGAAAGGTAAATTTTTTTTGTATAACAGTCATGGAAAATAAATATTTTTGTCCCACTACAGAGCTTACAAATGAATAAGGGGATGACATTGATAACAAGGCATAATTTTAGTTGAAAAAATGTGAGTTCATGCAGATGAATGCATTTTTTTGAATTTAAGAAAAGCTGGAGAGACTTCTAAATTTTTTTTCCCCAAAAAAAGTATGCCTTTGAAATGCTAGGAGTCTTCAGTGGATTTTTTTATACTGCTAACTG